CCTAACCTAACCTACGACCTAACCCTAACCCTAACCCTAACCCTAACCCTAACCCTAACCCTAACCCTAACCCTAACCCTAACCCTAACCCTAACCCTAACCCTAACCCTAACCCTAACCCTAACCCTAACCCTAACCCTAACCCTAACCCTAACCCTAACCCTAACCCTAACCCTAACCCTAACCCTAACTAACCCTAACCCGATTGTTCGATGAATACTGCAATATATGACGCTTCTAAAATCTTGAAAAAATGACCAGTGGGAGGGGATTGGCGAACATGATTTTTTGACATACTAACCGTGGGAAATTGATCGCTGGATAATCCTCCAGGCCCTTCTCACTGTTTTAGGAGGATATGATGAATTACGGAACGACTACCAATATAAAGTGAGGTGCGAGAACGGTTCTGGATTCAGTACTTCTGGGGCTATGCACTGACACCCCAAACATCCAAAACTGAGACGCCCGGAGGTCAGCCTGACCTCCTGGCTGGGACAGGGGTAGACTGCCCAACACCTTAAGGTCGCGTCCATTGTGATCGATATTAGGACTCGACGTTATGGCTGCACGGTGATGGCCCAATCCTTAGCCGACTGCGATTTTCATTCCGATCCGCCTGGTGCGGTGTTCACGCGTTTTTGGTATATGTGTTCGAGCCTTGTTGGAATATTGGCGCTGACTGGGAGCTTCATTCCGATTCGCGTGGCGCAGCGTTCACGCGTTTTGGCGTGGATATGTGTGGGAAGCTTGTTGGGATATGATCGTCGACTCGTTCATTCCGATCCGGATGCTGCTGTGCCTACGCGTTTCAGGATACGATAATCAGCTGGGATGTTCATTCCGATTGGCATGGTGCCGTGGTCACCCTAACCGGCTATTATCTTCGTGGAGGCATCGCTGGAATGTGACCATCCAATCGGAGTGATCGGTGGTGGCGTGGGTAATGCTTACATGCACTTTCCCGCACCGCCGCCTGTATTGATGGCCGCACCGTGGATGTCGCCCTCGTTCCGATTTGCATGATGCAGTGTCGGTGCATTCCTACGGTACATGGATCGAGGAATTATTGTCATACCGGGACCCAATCGGATAAGTGGCCTGTGCAATGCTCACATGCACTTCTCCTCACTGCTACCTGTGGTGTTTGCTGAACCGTGAGCTTATTGTCGGTCATTCGGCTTATGGAAGGTGGCAACTGGATCGGAATGATGGGCGGATACTGTACGAAACGAGAATACTGAGCGCGCGGTGTGGCATGGTCTTTCCGATCTGGGTGATACGGTAATAGTCATTTCTGCTCGTATTACGTGTCGGAAAATGGTAGAAATCTGAAGGGTCATCCGGAATGGTAGGTGTCGGTGTAAAATGGCTGTTAACTATTTTACTCTCTTTCATCTGCATTTCTGGGTAATTCCTATCGCGTGACCGGATAAGGCCGTACCGGTTCATGTGCTGTGGAGAGCAGCACAGCGAGCTCGTTCATAGCTGGTGTACAGCTTGTGCGTAATCTTGCCCCCGAGCCCTTACCCTACTTTGACATGTTAAAAGAGCCCGATTAGCCATCGGAATGTTGATATATCGCGTCGTCACCGGTTTAGCGCCCGACAGTATAACCTCAGTTCCACATAATACGTGTGAGCCCGTCTGGGGCGCCCGTCCAAGGCCATCGGAATGGAAGTATACTGGTGGTAAGGCGCCGACAGAGGAGGCCGGGCCTTGTTCCTGAAGAATGTGGTCGTGGCAAGAATGCGTTTGGTTCCCCACTCTAGATATGGGCAGGACCATCGGAATGACGACCTGGCCAGGATACGGGTTTGGAGAAACGGGGTTGACGGGTCGGAATGGTCCACCGACGTCACCTTCAGGAATAATGGGCCGCCTTGATGGTCCAACCTGACGATTCAATAGCCCTGCCTACGCGCCATCTTCCGTTCATTCCGGACGTGTGTATGTCGATTCCGGCCATGCCTGTCCGCGCACAAAACGTCTCGTTGTCATAGTAGGCTTAGGAACCTTAAGGGTTATAATACATGTAATAGGCGAACTATCCGAGGCCGGCGTTGAGTCCAGCGTTCAGCGCGGCTGATTTACCCTCCTCCCGATCAGCATGACGTACTCGCTGAGCGCGGCGACCTGATCGAAGAGGGCCTGGGTCTTCTCCGCCTGCTGAGTGCACATGTGGACCAGGACGTTGTAGAGCTCGTTCATCTTCACCATCTCGGTCGTCATGCGCTCGACGGCGGCGGAGAGATCTTTGCGATCGGCTTCGTGGTCCTCGTGCGACTTGAGGATCGCCGACAGCATTTGCTGCTGGCCCGCGATCTGACCGGGGACGGCTTCCAGAGCGCTGAGCCGACGCGCCATGTCTTCCACGCTCCTCGTAAGCGCCGATCCTACCCCTTGCAGTTCGGAGGACGTCGCTGGGCCCGGGGTCGTTGCAGCCTCGACGGACGGAACGATGGGTGCCGGAGGAGCGGCGGCCTTGCGGGGCCGGGGCTTGGGCCGCGTCTGGGCGGGAGCCCGAGGCGTAGTGTCTTCCGACACCTCCATGCTACCCGAGGCATCGACGCCTGCTCTGGATGACGGCTGTCTCATGGACTCGCGCGAGGGGTCTGCTGTCGTATCCGTCGATGGGGCCGCCTGGACGTCGCGCGCCCTCCTCTTCCCCTTGGCCTTGGAGGGCTGGGGACCGGGACGATCCGAGGCGGAATCGACCAATAGCCCAGCGCGTGGGCGCAGCGGGCCATCGGCATCGGTGTCCTGCCGTGAAAGTGAATACCGATTTCGAGACGCCGTCGGAATGAGTGACGCACCATATTATGGTCCTCCTCTTCGTTATCGGGTGGGCGGGTGGTCGTTATCTTCGGCGCCTGTGATATGCAACATCGTAAGCCGCTAAACTGCTTTCCGATTAAAGGGTTACGCACCGGTACCCCTGCCTTTGCCAGCGCGGCGGCGAATCCCGGATTGCTCCGGTGGCTTTCCAACTTCGCAATAAGCCGCTGTCGTTCTTCCGGCTCCATCGTCTCGTGGTGGGCGGCGTAGAGGAGTGGGCTGTTGCTCATTGTACAGAGGGTGCGGCTGATGAGAGATGGGCGCTGACGATGAGCAAGCCGGGGACTGTCGCTCTGGCTGACGTATCCGGCGAGAATGGCACGTGACCTCTTTCCGATCGAGGCGAATCACCTAAGTCCATATCTCCTCGGCAGTAGTCGTGGTCGCGTTTCCGAACAGCCATAAGGCCGCGGGTATTCCCTACCGCCCACGAATATTTCATTCCGAGCCCAGCAAAAGCGCATTAGATTGGATAACGAATGGGCGGGGAACGGGTAAAGCACAGAGGTTGTTTCTCTGACCGCGGTGAGAAAACACTACGTCCATAGGAACTGTATTGGGTCTCTCTCGGGTAGAACACATTCTAGTTCTATATCCCTCCATTCCGATGCCTGTCCCGGTCTGGTGCGGCCGGAACAAATGCACCATTTGTTAGGATGGTCAGTCCGATGCTATCTCGAGGGGATATGGCACCAGTCTGGGCCTCAGGGAGTGCTTGCGGTGGTATAACCCCTATCCTTCACAGAGCGTCGATTTATCCCTCTGGAAGCTACTTCTTCATTCCTCTGAGAGCCCCGCATAGCATGTCCTTCCTCGGATTCATCGTGTTACCCTCTCGGCACCAGAATCTCAAGCGACGCGCGTTGGGATCGAAAAACGATATTTTACGGTTATGCGCGTATGCTACATTCCGGATCCGTGTATCTACTTTCTAGGAACCGCCCGGCGCTTTCCCTTTCCTCCGCTCCGCTTCTCGACCCCGATGGCGCATGCCGTTTGAATGAGTCGCAGGTGGGCCTCGACCTCCCTCGAGATGTCTCGCAATGCGATTCCGATGGTGGCGCCGGCGAGGACTGCGTTTTCCTCCATTTTCTCGAGCGCTGTGTCCGAGAACGTATCCAGCGCCTTGAGAAAGCGTTGGCTGGACCTCTCGGTCAGCCGCGCCGCCTCGGTCCACTGCTCGGCCTCCGTCATGGCCGACCAATCGCCGGTGGTAGGCTCGGAATGGGGACGAGACGGCGGAGCAGAGCCTGTTGTCTGGCTCGCCCATGAGTGAGATCGGGCGGGATGGTTGAAAGGCGTCGCGACGTACCGTCTCTCCAGCGAACGGAAGCGGATCATCGAGCGAATCCGGCATCGGATTAGGCCGGCCTGATGTGCTAGGGTTCGCCTGTGCGTGTGTGGGATGGCGCGATGTGGAGGGACCGGCCTGAGACCTTTCGTATTCCTCCAGCTCTGCGGCGAGCCGGAGAAGGGTCTCCGTAGGGAGGCTTAAGAGATCTTGCGGGATGCCGGTTGACGAGGACATGGTGATGAAGAACTAGAGAAACCCGATGGAGGGCCCTTGGGCAACGACCTCACGTGACTGGCCGGATTGTCGGCCGTAACATTGCCTAACTTGCGATGGCTTGGCCCGTCATTCCGAAGCATGTATAAGTGCGCTCGATCCTTCATATGTACGTTATGGTTACAAAAAAGTTGAATAGACGTTATCGGGCGATACGGTATCTACGGAATGGCCTACAGCTCAGCCCTTCGGCGCGTTTACGCCCCAGCGCCCCCCAGCATCGGAAGGAGCTCGTCGAACCGCTCCGCGAGGTCGTCGTGCATGGTGATTAGCATCTCCACCAAAGGACTCCTCAGCTGCTCGTGGATGTCGATGAGCTCGGTGAGGAGCTCCATCTGGTATTTGAGGTTCCGCAAGACGACGGGGAGTGATCGGGACGCCTCGATTGTGGTATAGGTGACGCAGTCGCTGTCGTAACCGTCTCGGGCGCAAAACGTGCACGGCCCGTCGGCGGGCTTTCCCTCGCACTGAAGGCGCATTTTTCGGCATGGATCGCAGATCGGATGATGTGTCCGATTCTATTACCCCAGTTAGCAAGAGCAGCAAGAGGAGGTGGGGAGCGGAAGGGCGCACCGACTCCAGGAGCCACCAGGCGTACTGGATCTTCTCTCGTAGCGATCGCTCGGTCGGTTTCCTCTGTAATTTCTACGGGATAGCGGTCAACCAATTCCCTGGACAATCGGAATGAATCAGTGCGCACCTGTCTGATCCTCTTCGACCGCCTAGTCGAAGAGAGCTCCTCCTCCGCCTTTCGCTTGCTGGACGTGCTGTCGCCGCTTACCGACGTGGCAATCCCGGGGGCGGTCAGCGAGCTCTGCCTCGACGGGCCGGTACCCGCATCCGTGTTGGCCGGCTCGAGCTGCTCAAGCAGAAGGCGCAACGTTTCCGTACTGAGATCCTCCAGAGCGCTGATAGCGGATTCACTCATGGTGGGATGGTCGTTGCGGTGGGGGGAGGGAAGTATCGACGCGCGTCTGACAGTGTCCCGGTCCCGTGACGCTCCCCATTTCCGGGCTCATTCCGATCGATATTTACGTCGGTATGAAATCTTTCGTTAGGATTCATAGTACGTACGCGGGCGGAATCGATAGCAACATCGGAATGAAACGACTCGTTAGATTTCGTACTATTTACACGGGCGGCAGCGCATATCGTGAGTGCGTTAGGAGATGGCGACGGTAACACCGCTGTAGCTCAACGGAGCCGGTCAGCGCTCTGTCGAATCTGCGCCAAGTTGTCGTTTAACTTGGCGACCTCTGCGGCGAGCGTCTGCAACTTCTCGGCTTGTTCGTGGCACATGTGGAACAGCACTTGCTGCATTACCGATAGCTTCGTGATATCCCGGGTGATGTGGTCGACGGTGTCGGTGACATTCGCGTGATCCGCAGCCTGCTCCGCGTGGGCCTTGAGTACCGCGTCTGCGAACTGCTTTTGAGCAGATAGCTGCGCAGGGATCGTCTCGATGGCGCTGAGCCGAGCTGAAACATCGTTGACGCTGCGCGTGAGCGTCGACGCGAGCGCTGCGAGCTGGTGAGATGTTGCCACGGCCGTCGGCGATGCGGTATCGGCGGAATGATCCTGCGCATCGATGGGTGCGATTGGAGAGGCGGGAACTGGCGCTACGGGGGTGGAACGCTGTCGGTCTCTGGGATCCGCCGGTGTGGGGCCTTGGGCGGAAGGTGCCGCGGGCGGACGAGGCCCGTCTCTCTCAGACGGATTCCTGTCGGCCTGTCCCGCCGGGCGAGCCTTAGACGTCTGCCTTGAAGACTTTCGCGTCGCAGCCGCCGTGGTAGATATGGAGCGGGGCTGCTGGCCGTCCTGCGCTCTCGAAGTCGTTGCGGTCCTGGCGGACTGGGCGACGCGTTGATCCACGGATGCTGAGGATCGCCCGCGGCGTGCCTGCTGATTGGGGGGAGGCGGCGAGGGATCAGCGTCTATTTCCTGTCGTAAACGTTAGCTGGAACGTGGATTTGCGATCGGATTGACCGACTCACCATCTCCCGTACATCGTCCGTCCTATGGCCTTCTCCGGAGCTCGACCCGCCCAGCTTCTTGACTCGCCGGTGTCAGTAGTGCGGCGATGGCGACAGGATAATCGGAATACTCACCCCGGCCTTTGCGTGCTCTATCAGAAGCTCGAGGTAGCCTGGCCCATGACGGGCGACGAGCTGTCTTATGAGCGCCGCCTTGTCGACGTCCTCCGGGTCCTGAGTACGCGGGTTGAGGGGATCGGCGGGGTTTTTGCTCATTCTGTACGACTTTGCGTTGGTTCAATGTCTGGGTGAGCACAAGGAGGGAGGTGGACTTTGCGGGAGGCGTCGGGGGAAAGAGCACGTGACACGATTTCCATCATTGAGCCACAGGTTCCGCGTCCTGTTCTCCATTCCGGTAAGGACGCTCGTCACACGCTCACGTTTCTACGGTAGCTAGATGGTCGAGCATATATCGGAATGATTGCAGCGGCGGCTCTACAGCCTCCCGACATCGGTGACACCGCTCCCAGCCAGTTGCGAGATCGAGGCGGTGCGGTATACGCACGTGACCGGTGGAACGACGCGGCGGAATTCCAAGTCCATCTCTCTCTCGCTGTCCATTTCGCTATGCATGTGCTAGAGGAAGATCTCTCCACTCTTACACCGACCCAGCTCCAATCCTTGCTTCAGAAACTGGATCTCGCCGCGGCCGCCCCGCCTTCCGATCAACAGGCAGGTCCCTCAAGGCGTACTGGGAGACCGGAATCCGATTCCGATGGGGTGGAGGAAGCGCAATCGACGGAATGGGAGGAGGAAGGGCATGCCGAGGATACAGCTGGGCAGCCGTCAATCCGGCGTTGGCCCATCGTGACATCTTTCACGCTGCCAGATGGCCAGACCGAGCCGGCTCCGCGTCGCTCTGTGAGTGACGCCCATTCCGATTCATTCCGGATTTCTAACGCAATCGCATACAGTCGCCTATGCAGTGGGTGAGTACTGCCGCACCATTCCGCACGGACTGATCCATATAACATATGGTCTAGAGCGACGATGAGGCCATCCCACGGCCGGTCCCGGTATGTTCGCCGCTAAACGCATGGCCGACGGATACTGACGTTTTCCGCTCAGAGGAAAAGGGGCCATGTGCTCAAGGGAACAGGAGTAAGCACCTATCGTGTCATTCCGATCATACGCTCATAACACCTCACAGAAGTTTTTCGCGACACCGTGCACGAAGTGCGGCACCGCGGGGGTGCGATGCGAGATGGGCTGGTATCCGGGAGCGGCGTGCATGCGCTGCCAACGACAGAAGAGCGGGTGCGACAAGGGCAAGGGGGAGAAGGGCCTCAATCGCGGTGGGGCACGCAGGCGGCGCAGGGGCGCTGGGTCAGAGGACGTCCCTGCCGAGCCAAGGCCGACGAGGGTGCCGGAGAACGAGAATCCCAACCCTTTCCGGGCCAGCGCCGCGTCAGCTCGGCGCATCGAGGGTATCCTCGATCGATGCGCAGAACGCGTTCGAACGAGCGCGGATACTCGCGCTACGGAGATCCGGACGACGGTCGGCGCGGTGCTGCGCACCATAGAGCTTACCCATGCCGCCGGAATGATGGCAGCGGAAATCGAGCGGCGTCAGGCCCTCACGCGTTAGGACCGCTACTATATACATGTACTATATTCGATTCCGAACGCGCAAGACTTTGAGTTTGAGCGAGACGCCCATGAAAATCCGATTGACATCACGTGCCGTAATCGGATTGAACGCGCGTCGTCGTCGTCGTCGTCGGATTGAAATCCCTCCTCCAACCCTCCACTCGATAATGCAAGTATTCTTCAACAACGACAGGGTAGGTGGCGCGCCGCGTTACATATGCCAAACTGATACCCGTTGGTCCAGTGCTTGCCTTGCGTCAACGACCGGATTGAAGATTGCGTCAGGGAGCCGAACATCCCCAGCCCAAACAATGCGTGTACGCATTGCAGGCGGAAGAACGCGAACTGCGTCCGGCGGGACTCCAGGCCGGCGGTAGTCTTGCCCACCCGCGGCAAGGCTCCGGCGACGCATTCCGGCGCGCCGTACCCCACGACCGCCGAGGAGTGGGCCGCGTTCATGGCGGATACGCTCGGGCGGTGGGAGCAAAAGTTCGAGGCGCTCGGAGAGACAATCCGGAACGCTACGTTCGCCAGCGCCGACGCCACCTCCACCGTCATCGCGGATGCCGTCGCCGGAATCGTGCGGGAAACGGCGACGGCTCGAGAGCAGGTGGAGCAGTACGCCGCCGAGAACACCGCCGCGGTCGCTCGCATGAGCGAGAAGTACGAGACCGTCAACGAATTGATGGATAGGATTTCCCAAGAGATGAAGGACGCGCAAGACGACCTCCTGGATCTCGCCGAGTCGTCCAGCACGCACCAAGGGCTGCTCCACTCCCAGAGCGTGGCGCTCACCGCCATGGCCCGCGACATCCACATCTTGAAGAACAACGCGATCCTGGCCGATGCGCGATACGATTTCCTCTTCAACGCCGTGAATCGCTTCGGCCAGAGGCTCCACATCGACGTGGGGCAGCCGAGGGAGCCGCTTTTCCTCCCCTCGCCTGAGCCATCCTCACCGCCGTCCGGCTCACAAGGCCAGATCGAGAAGCTCATCGGCCGCGGCGAGGACGATGAGATGGGGAGTAGCGATCGCGGGGAGTGAGGAGGTGGCTATTATCGACGGATTCTCGGCTCGTTTTCGATGTACTAGTATAACGAATCGGATTATATGTGCGCGCTCATAGCCCGGACGGGAGTAAGATGCGGGCCCATTCCGACGGCAATAGAACATAGTATTCGAGTGCATATCCAAGACCACAACGTGAAAGGACTATACCCGACGTTGCCCGTTTCATGAACCTGGTAACATGTCAATACCGGATTGAATTTCCATTCCGATGGACCAGGACGTCGACTGTCTGGTTACCCCGCTCAGGAATGGAAATTATATGGCCCTTTTGCCACATCTGAACAGCTTAACTCATGGGTACGCCGGAAATCGGATCCTTTGGGTGCCAGAATACACGCTATCGTTTCATAAGAGGTAAGAAGTCAATGGTCCTTCGACCGGGAAGGCTCCTACTCTAGCGTTATTTCGAGTACATCGGCATAGTCCTGTTCTATGGTCTCTACGAAGAATCTGACGATGTTAGAAACCCATGGCGCTTCGGTATCACGTCTCACGAGCCAGGAAATCCAACGTTCGTACGATGGGAGGTTGTACCGGCCGCCCCATAAGGATTCCCCTCTATCCGGTAAGCGAGATATGTTCCACAGGAACGGCGTGACGATGTCGTTCCACTGACAGGATGCCCGCCAGCTATGCGTCCCCATGCGCTCGGAAGACTGGGGGATATGACAGAACCAGCAGATGCGAGGTTTTCGTGCTTCTGCCTCGTACTTGATGCCCTTTGAAAATGTCAAATAAGACTCCCTCGCGCCCGGAAAGCTGGTGATAGAACCGCAATCGAGAATCGACTCGTGGCGAGCCACGTCCGGTTTTCCCTCGCATGCGCCGGGCATAAACCAGCAACCTATGCAGCAGTCCGCGAACGGACGTAAGGCTCGCAAAATGCGCTCCTCCATGTCGGTATGAGCGGCAGACTCCGCGATCATCTTCTGATTTACTTTGCGTTGGGCTTCCGCGAAGTCGGTGACATCGCCGATCCTGGTTTGCAAAGACTCCTCGTAAAAGCACTCGTCTGGAGCCATGGACGTTGCACATTCCTTTGACCGATCTAAGGCGGTATGGATATGTCAGCGATGCGCGTCCAAGTGCCTCCTATCACGTCGGAATGCTCACCGATCTCCCCCCTGTGCTCGCAGCGGGAGCACTGCATGGCTCCGGGAACCTCTGAGCACCGTACAGCCATGACATCGACGCAGGAGGATATTATCCACCGGATACACTCCTGGCTCTTTGCGAGATCCAAGCCGAGGTTATGACCGAGCAGGTCTTCGCCGGGCGGCAAACGCTTTGGCGTGAATGAGATAGGTGCGGGCATAAAATACACCGGGCATGGTCTGCCGTCGCGTCCTCCTCTTCCGATTTGCTGTACGAGCTCCAGTATGCAAGGGAAATGATAGGCGACTACGACGCATCGGATATGGGCGTAATCGTAGCCAGCCCCAAGTGCCGAAGTCGCCACCAGCCAGCCACCAGGAGTCTCTTCGAAGGTGCGAAGCATTTCCTGTCGATCGGCTTCGAGTTTTAAGCGGGCGGGTGCGGAAAGGGACTTCTCCTCCTTGATGGCGCTCCTATAGAAGTTGCAGCCGAGATACTTGGCCACGTCGTTGCCGTAGCTTATCGAAGGGACGAATATAAGGATTCGGTCGATCGCCTCGTCGAAGCTGTCCATGGCCATTTCCAATCCGATCATCCTCTTTATGCGCGAAGGAATCAGGCTCGTCGCGAACTCGTTCTCCATGATATAACGATGCTCGGGTCGCACGGTGGGCTCCCGGATTACGATCGGATTGCTCTGGAGGAGGAGTTCGGCGAGCCTATCCTCTGCTGCCGGGGGTAGGGTAGCCGTAAGCGCTATGAGCTGAGCATTGAACATCCTTGCTTTCCACACGTTCTCCATGGACGGTCGGAAACTGATCTGCGTGAGCCTGGAGTGAGCTTCGTCCAACACGAAGCGAGTGACCGGATAGGGGGAGCCAAAGTGATGGCTGGTGATGGCCTCCTTCCAGGACGCCGATCCGATGTGATCGTAGCTGACTATGACGACTCGGGCAGAGGAGGGGATTCGTCCTTCCCTCCAGATATGGTGCTCGACGCCTGCCCGTTGCAGCTTACGCGCCGCGTCCTCCATCAAGACCTTCAGCGGAACAGCCAAGACGGTGGTAGCCTGGTCCAGAAGGCCAGCGATTATTACCGGTGTGGTCTTGCCAGCGCCTGTTCCCAGGACGACCTGCATGTCGTTGCGGCGCATAAGCATCTCGTAGATGGCCTCGCATTGACCCGTAGATCGGAAATTCGCTTCCTCCCCGTACAGGATCTGCATCTCCTTCCTGACCATGGGTTTCCAATATCGGATCTGAGCTGCCTCCGGCTGAGAGCCCTCCTGCGTGCATTGCGATTGGGGATCGTTCGCGTCTCCTGTATCGTCCTCTAGCTCAGGCGCCTGAGATACTGGAGAATCCGTCTCGATATCCAGGGGTGAGCTACGGCCGTTTTCTATCGCCAGAGTCAGACATGAGGTAACCGCGTCAATCAAACCGAAGACACTCGCCTTCACGGCTGGCACTGCCGGTTATATTCCCGTTGCCGGTTCGTGTGCTGGGACGGGGGCGACGATCTGCATGAGCTTCGTTCTGTGAGCCGAAGGATCGGATTGATGATAATACATCCCCTGCGTTCGGCGTCGATCGGATGGAGGACCATGGTGGTGATGGAACTATTTCCCTGCTCGTCCTCGAGCGTCTCGTTTTATCCCGTGACAACACAGATGGGGCCTCCGCATTCCTGCTTGCAGAGACCTGCGCAGGGTGCCGTGCGCGAGAGTCGGGATCGGAAGATGGTAGACGAGTCTTCGAACCGGATATTGTGCCCCGCACGGAGCGCAATGTTGGATCCACGTTCGCGGTGGGAGCGCATGGAACCCTAGGGCTAGACGTCGGGAGTCGCTCCCTAATATGCTCTGGGAGAACTTGAGGGAGGTGATATCAGCGAGTGTCTCGAGCGCGTTGCAATCGCGCTGCGTACCAGTGATTTCATTCCCGTCTGGCTCGCTTGCGATGGGATAGTCACCCTCTTCCAATCCTATTGCATCTCGAGGTTCATTCCGATGCGCGATTGATTTCACGGCTGCCTTAACCGCGCTCGTGATCTCTTCACGGATTGCCCGCAGGATTTGATCGGAAAGGCCCGTATCTATGGCCGCTTTTTGAAGTTCCTCTCGAACGACGGTTCTGATGGTATCCTGCAGCATCCTGTCCGAGTCTTCCTTCTTCTTTGTGCAATCCCGAAAGTGCCCTGCCACGCAGAGGGACTCGAACTCCAAGGTACCGCACCGATCGAACGGAAGTAGTACCCCTGCCGGAACGACCCTCATAACGACTTGCCACTGAGCGGCCCGCTCGAAGCTTGCCTGCAGCAGATGCCCGCTGTACTGCCCATCGGACGTGTTCGATCGCGCGTATATCCGGCGGTCAACGTTGTCGCTATGCCCCATGCCCATGGCGTCTATGTGCTCGAGGTTGAGCTGGGTCTCCACCTCAAGGGTAACGCCGTGGAGGGCCATGTGATCGCGTCGGAAAGCCTTCAGAGCGTGTCGTTTTGCGTTCACGCCCAGGGGAGCCCCGCATACCTTCATCCCTTGCTCGGACATGACGGTGCTGAGAGCCTCCGGATCGAAGGGCTGCCCCTTGAAGTCGGAGAATATCAAACGCTGATACCCCTCGCCGGCCTTGGGATCGGCTGGCCACAGCTTCTTCGAGAGCCAGGCCGCGAAGGGTCGGTAAACCGCCAAGACTTTGACAAGGAGGTCGGCCGTGAATGCGTCGAGCGGGCGAGGGACCTCCTTCTGATAGGCGGTGGAGTGTCCCTGTTTCCGATACTGAGTGGTGATAGTGAGGTATTTTCCGAAGAAGCGAAGGCCTCGTATGGAGTCGGCGTATGGCCCGTTAAGATATTCGAGGGATACCAGCTCGGTGAGCCTTGGGGGAGGGCCGCTCAGGTCCATCGTCATGATGAGGAGATTTCGTTCGAGGTCGGCCAAGGATCGGAGCCATTCGAATCCGTGCGCCACGTCTACCTGGAGTTCCTCGAGATCGGACTCGTCCGGGCTGATAAACATCCACTTTCGAGCGGTGGGATCGGACATGATGGCGTCGAAAAACATGATCTTGCTGTGTAGCGACCGGTTCCTGGGATCGGAAAGGAACGAGTAGCCCTGGCTCCTCGAGGTCATGTCGTCCTTGAACGCAGATATGACTACGCCCACGGGACATCCTAGAGAGGTCTTGACGTCGGCGGCCTTTGTCCACGCCTGAAGGCTGGCATAGAGGGCGTGAAGGTTACGGAGAGTGATCTCATGCCCTTTGTGGACGAGCGAGGTGAATCCGACCGGATCCGTCCAGATAATGTTCACCTCCATCTGGCTGCTCATGGCGACGTCGGTGATGAGGTGCCCCTGAGACTTCATGACCCCGAACGCGCTGCGACCTCCGCTGGTGTAGAACTCGCGGATGCTCAACGCCGCCATCTCCAGGTCCCTTGCCGATGGACTCGCCGCTTCGAGGTATATTTCCTGAAGGGCGCACAGTCGGATTGCGTATTGCATGTGGGAGAGAAGCGGTGTAACGTGGACGGCCTCTTTGAATTGGCCGTTGGGTCGGATAGATAGCAAGATGATGCAACGCATGACGGGGTGCGGAATGGCGTTGTCGGTCGTCTGGAGATGATCCCAAGCACGAAGAAATAACCCGCTGAAGATGTGGTGCATCAACAGCATCAGCGGATCCTCGAAGGACACCGTCGTTGCGTTCATTCCGACGGTGGATTCGAGCGCCTTTCGAAGCGTCTCGAGGTCCTCTGAATTGGGAGGGCAGCCGGGGATGGAATAGGCGGTAGGATCCGACGTGTCTTGCCTCAGGATCATGAGCAGCAGGGCTGCCACGGTGCGGGAATATTTTGCGAGGCTCGCCGCTTCTTGGAGAGCCTTGAAAGGCTTGTGCTCGAGTCTGAGGAGCGTAGGATTAGATACAGCAACGGATCCTCGGAAGAAGCGGGCTGAAACTTACTCCGACTGCGCATCGGCCGTGACCAGAAGTTGCAGGACGATCGGCGGACAGTTGGGGATGAGGGACTCGCATTTCTTCAGGTACTGAAACACAAGCCCTGAAACGCCTGCTAGAGGATCGGAATGCTGATTCGGCGCGTCCACGAGCCGGCACAGATCGTAGCTGTTGTAACCCTGGACGTGCTCTGGCCATTTCAACGCTGTGAGCCAGTAGGGTATGAGCTTGGGACTGGCGCCGAGAGAGACCTCGTTCATCTGCTGCATCTCGTCTCTGATTCGTTGAAGCCTGTCCACGCCGGGCTGAGCTTCGGCGTCGGAAAGATACGGTCCCGTCACGAGGAATCGTGTCTTGTAGTCGAGCGGGACCAGAGACTGCACGTATTGCACGAAATGCAGCTGGGCCGTTTCGTCGTCGGCTTGCCTGGGTGGCCGAGCACAGTCCTTGTGGGAGGCAGAGTAGTGCTTGCGCAAGCGATTCTTGTAGTTTGTCGAGAAGAAACGGCAGGGTGTGCCGTCTGCCAACCTCTCCTTGCACGCAAAACCCTTGGTAGACTGGACGCACTGGAACGGGCCCGTCCAATGAAGTGTAGGCGGATCGGGGAGCTCGGCAAGGAGGTAGGGATGATCGGAAACCGTCCGATGAAACTGCTGTTCGACCAACTGCCATGCCGCTCCGTAACGCGGGAGATGTTGCCGGACATGTTCCAATGCCGTACCGGTGCCTAGGCAGCGGCTGCAGCTCGTGCAGACCAGCAATCGCAAGGGCTCGTTGATTACCAGGTTTATGGAGTCCAAGATGGCGCACCGTCGGATTTGACCCTCCTATCCCACGCACGATCACCGTTAGCGTCGGAATGAAACATATATCGATAGCTTACCTTTTTATAAACGGTGGTAATCTTCTCTGGCTGGCTCTCTACGTCCGGGCTCATTGCAGAGCTCTGTTGTGACCAGCCGATGATTAGTAAGGTAACTGCACCCCACCATACGACCGATGCTCACCGGATGCATCGAACCGTGTGAAGGCGTTTCTTGCTCAGGGTTCTGGCATTCCTAGCGTTCCAAGGAGGTCAGAAATGTCGCAATCTCGGACGGTTAGGAATGACGTACCGAGCTCTCGTCGTGCTCTGGGATGACGCTTTCGGCCGGACTGGAGGGGCGTGAAGCATATCCCTTTTGATAAAATTCAATATCATGTCCTCAATCTCACGAACGATGTGCCTACCGTCCCTAGACTCTGCGCTCGGGGATTATCTTCCTGTGGTTCCCCAACCCTTCCTGCGTCTTGCACGGCACCCTTATCGTGATTGATCTTCATCCTAGCGGTTAAACCAGGCTGACGCTTCGATGAAGCCTGCTCGGAGACCGTCAGCTGTGAATCGCATGGAACTCGGCCTCGTGCTCTAACCGTATGCTGGACCCCCTGTGCTTTTGTCATCGAAGGGGTCTCCGGTACCGACTCATCCTGCCGAGAAAAACTCAGACATAGTCGACCTTTTATGAAGAAGTATATGCTCACTGATGGCCCGGGACCCCTTGCAAGAGATCGGAAATGCGTAGACGCTTGGCCATTGCTGATCGTCCGGCTTGTCGGAATCACTGGAACCGAAGGGCCGCTCAATACGAGCGCTGTAGAGCCGCATTTGGATCGGGCCTGCTCGGAAAGACCCGCAAAAACCCCCTGAGATTCACGTTAGTCGTTTCGACTAGAAAATCGGCGATTCGTGGGGAATTGCACACCTTCGGATCCCAAGGTCGACTTGCGCCTCCTGGCAAGTGAACGTGCCTTCGGAATGACTCGTTGTTTTGGAACGTATGGCCGTGGGGGTTGAAGTTGCAATAGCAGACGTACGAAGCGTCCGGCGCACGAGTGAATCTGACCTTCGTCTCGTCCTTGAATAGGAGTTCTATTTCGGTAGCGCACTTGCGTCGATGGGCCGACAACTGCTTTCCGTTTTCAAACCGCTGCCGGCACACGACGCA